AGGAAATAGACATTTAAAATTCTGCTTTAATAACAGACTGGAAGTTTCCAGTCAACCAAATGACTGTGTCTGTTCATAGACACATACAGACACGGAGACATATATAGACTTTGAAAGAGATTTTGAAAATTACACTCTGAAAAAATGACAGCATTGTTTTTAAATATGTTGATTTATATATAAAAAGGTAATCTGAATGTAAATGTTTCAAATTGTCTGATATGTTTCAAGATTTCTTTAATTTATTAATGTAGTTACAGTGAAATTATGTCTAATCTTCCTAAACAGTAGTTTTAATAACCAGAATGTCTAACCACACACAAAAAAATCAGAACTATTTTCCTTTGACTTTTCTGAGAAGGTTAAAATAGACTGATGCCATGATTAATAAGACCTGCATGCATACATGCAAGCCTCTTACTTTCTTTACTCAGTATCATGATCCTGTAAAAAGAAGACAGAGGACAAACTTACTGTTAGGCTCATTGTGATGCTGAGCCTTAATATTGGAAGTAAAAAAGCCTAGTTAATATTCCTGAGTTTTAAAATCTTATTTTGGTAAAGAAGCAATGTATATGGCTATACAAACAAGCTGTAATCTAGCTTATGAAATCTAGTGAAAAATAATACTGTGTGAACTAGCAAGAGTTGACCTTTTCCTGAAAAACGAGTCATCTCTAGGCAGGTGCCCAATATATGGCCACAGCTGCATATCAGTAGATGATGTTTTTATTCACAGATGAAGGCACTGTAATTTTTGCTGAATATGTAAATGGTGACATGAGCAATTAGAGCTTACACTTTTCAGTAAAATTATTACAGAATTTCTTTCTGGAACTTTGATTAATATCGTTTGCTGCTCCCATCTGAAAATTCCCACTTTAACAGATACTTAATAGTGACTTCCAGTAGCACTAAATGACTTTTGTCAAAACTTCATATTGAATTTTGTCAGAAACATATGTCTTCTAGGAGGTGATCACTTTTGGAGAAAGTACTCAATTAAATATAGGGCAAAGTAATTTTCCTTGTATGACTAATTGAAAGAAAATAATTTTGGGCAAGTGAAAGTACTACATCTGTTAAGCAAGGAGAATTAGAGGGTGTAGTGTCTGAATCACAAGTGAACTCATGTATTTTCAGAAGAGAAAAGTTGCAGTCCTGTAGCTAGCATCATTTGGGGAAGAGGATCTTGATGATATGTGTTGGTTACAGAAGATTAGCATAAAGACAGTGAGTGTAATCAGCCGTGTTTAACATGCTAAAAAATAATAAAAGACTAAATAGTGTTGATTGGAGGTCACAGCAACTTTTATCATCCCACAGCCTGTGTGTGCTTTTTCTATAAACAGCATTTAATACAGCTGGCCAAAAAATTTCTGTCCCCCTACCATTTGATTTCCATTATAGATAAATTTGCATAAATTACACACGAGAAATTGGCTAGTAAATGATGCACCAGAGATTAAACCCAACATAAAAAAAAATTCTTCCTGGCTCCAGACTAACATACAAGTGGCAAAAAAAAAAAAAAAAAAGGATAAATGAGAAAGTGCAGAACCTGTTTTCGTGTCCCTGTGGCTGGAGGGGCTGCGGGGGCGGCGGCTGTGCCACGGGGCTGTGCTGGGCCACGGGGCTCTGCTGCGCCAGGGGGCTCTGCTGGGCCATGGGGCTGTGCTGCTGCGCCAGCGGGCTCTGCTTCTCCGAGCTGGGCGCCGAGGCCGGGCTGTTCAGCTCTGCTTCATGGGGAGATGGAGATGGAACACCTGTCACAGGGCAGCATTTAATAAAGGGCAAAGGTACACAATGATAATTTTTGGTCACGCGCTGCGTTGGCAAATTTATGCTTTGTCGCTTTCACTTGCTCAGGTTATAATTAGATTTTAAGACATTTGAACCTAATGGTCTCCTTTTGATAGTCTGTGGGATTCAAAATCTTGGTGACTTCTATAATTCTGGTTGACACTGTCATTATTTAAAACACAACTGAACAAGGGAAATTTCTTCCACGTTTCACATATTCTTTTAACCCATAGAATTACAGATCACAGAATGATGGAATGATAGAATCATAGAGTCACAGAGCTTGGGTTGGAATGACACTTTAAGATTGCCCAGTCCAATCCCCCTGCAATGAACAGGGATATCTTTAACAAGACCAAGCTGCTCAGAGCCCTGCCCAACCTGGCCTTGAATTTTGACAGGAATGCCAGGATGGGGCATCTACCACCTCTCTGGACAACTTGTTCCAGTGTTTTGTTACTCTCATCATTAAAAAAAACCAAAACCAACTCTTTTTTATATCTGTCTGAATCTGTCCCTTTTTAGTTCAAAGCTGTAAGAACACTTGTGCTACCACAACAGGCCCTGCTAAAAAGTCTATGCCCATATTTCTTATAAGCCACCTTTAAGTACTGCAAGGTCAGAATAAGGTCTCCTTGGAGCCTTGTCTTCTCCAGGCTTAACAACACCAATTTGCTCAGCCTCTCCTCATAGGAGAGATGCTCCAGCCCTCTGGTCACCTTCATGACCTCCTTTGGACTGCTTCCAACAGGTCCAGAGGACCCCACAGTTGGATTCAGAACTCCAGGTCAGGTCTCATGAGAGCAGAGTAGAGGGGCACAATCACTTCCCTCAACCTGCTCATCCACTGAACAGTCCTCTCATCAAATTCATCTCTCTCCAGTTTAGAGAGAAGGATGCTGTGGGCTACCATGTCAAAGGCCTAGCAGATGTCCAGATAGGTGAGACCTGTAGATCCTCCCTTGTCCATGGCTGTCCACTGATGTAGTTCCTCCACTGTAGAAGGTCACTAGGTTGGTCAGGCAGGACTTACTCTTGGTAAAGCTGTGCTGGCTGTCCTGAATTTCCTCCCTGTCCTTCATGTGCCTTAGCACAGCTACAAGATATTTGAAATGCTTTCCATTTCGAAAAAAATTCATTTTGAGAGAATGAACATTTTACTGTTTTCTCCAGTGGGATGATAGACCTGTCACAAAAGCTAAAACACTGGTGTTTAGTGTTAGGAACATATTAGGTCCTGCTGTCTTTGAGCTTATCAAGAATTTTTTGTCTTTAAATTTTTGGGGACTGTGAACAGTAAACCAGTAAACCCAATCTCAAAAAATTCTGACTAACCATTTGAACTGATAGTTTATTTCACTGTGTTATGTTAAATGACTGAGGTTCCACATAGGAACAGTGCAGAAAAACAGAATCATTCTTTCCAAACAACACAAATTCCAAAAAGTCAGAGAGATTGGCATAGGAAATATGGTTTTGTTGCTTTGCCATAAATAAAAGATGCCAATCTTCATTCAGGCTTCCTGCTGGACTTGGGGGAAGACTCATTTTGTACTGAGCTCATATCAAGTGTATTTTTTCCAACACACCAGCACAGTCCTGTTCACCATTACCTGTTAGGATGCATAAATGAGAAAGACTCTGCCCACAGGAGGACAGAGCACTGCTGAAGTTCCTGCATTATCAACAGCAAAGGCAAATATGTTTTTGCTATTCCTCCTTGCAACAGAAGGAGTGAGGCCAGTGTGGCATGGTGCAAAGCAAACAAAATGGACACACACATATGGCTGAGCATCCCTAACAGCAAGAGCTACACATGATACAGATCTTGCCTAGTTTTACATTTGAATCTAGTTTTAATTTTCATGTGGTTTATTTTTAAACTTTTAACATGTGAGTTTTTCCCTATGGGTACATATTCTCTACTTATCTAATTTATGCCCACAATTATAAAAAATTTTGGCTACTTTATTGCAAATATTTTCAATTTAGGATTAATTGTCAAAAAAAGCTTGTATATTTGCACTTAAAACACTCCTCATGCAGGCATAAGCAGTACTTGTCTGTGTAATTACTATGCTTAAGGCTGTAATTGCCCATTTTGCATCTGCGAGTCTCTTTTGTATTGCAAGTTTTAGAGAGGAAGATTGGAAATGTTTTCCCTCATTTCTACATTACTCTCATAACTATGGATGAACTGGTCAAATCATGAGCTGCTTCTAAAACTGCTTTGCATTTATATGGTATTTTTTACCTGAAAGTGTATTACAGAGGTATTAGATTTTTTACCAATTTTTCTAAGCTGAGAAGTTAATATCAGAAGGCAAATGAGGTGTCCAGTGTCACACAGTCACACAGGGAAGCTGTGCCTTGGCACAGATGATTTCTCATCACTAGCACATGAGAACATCTTGTAGTACTGCAAGTCAGCTGCACCTCTGCTTTCTTTCTAATTTAATGTATCCATCTCTAACACTGAACTATTAATGATGTTATTTAACCTGGATACCAGAGAGGCTTAAACAAACTTCATGGACTGTATGAAGTAACACACTTGTTTTAGATGCCTGTAAAGCTGACCTCCAGTAATTACAAGGGTGCTAATTGAAGTGAATTCTAAATGTGCATATGTTTGTGTTTTTCCCTTCACTGAATTCATTTAACAAAGTAGATGAGTTCTCTCAGTTGCAGTCTGTGACCAGTGTCAGACAATTTCCCTGTCCCTTTGCTGGATGCAGCAGCATAAGGTGAAGGTCATCTAACTGGGCCATGGATCATTAAGTAATTCCATTACTTTCTGTGTGTCATTCCCAGCTCTACTGGTATTTGTTGCTGAGATATAAAGACATGGTCTCATTACTGTGGTACAATTCATGCAGCAGTGCAGCACATTGTTAAACTAAAAAAAGCCCTGAAATCAACCCCAAACCTCAAGGAACCAACATCAAAAGATCTTCACTGATTAGATGTGGAGCAATGACCAGAATAATGAGTCTATCCCCTTATCCTCACCCTAAAAATGAGATAATTTAGGGTTCAGTTCTTTCCTGCCTTGTGCATTTACAGTGATGTATCACTATGTGATAGTGATGGAGGAAACTGCCAAATCTGAACTCTTCCTTCACATCACTTTTTGTCACACGTAGCTGGTGGCCGAACATGCCTGGTGACAACCATTGCAGTCTCTTGTGAATCACTTTGTCAAACTTTGGCTTGGCTTATAGCAAGATATAAAGGAATGAACTCAAAACTTGTCTCTCTTGTAGAGTGCTTTTCCATGTAGAAGACAATTCTTGCAAAAGACCTTAATATCCTCTTTCTCTCTCTGTGTCAGGTTTCTCCAGGTTTGCTTTAAATACCCCTTTCATAACTGGAAACCTTTTCAAGAATGCAGATCCTATCTGAGCCAGTTCTAAGCTCATAATTCTGGTGTGCTGCACGTTACAGCGGAGGAAGGAGAACAAAAGATGCTCTTTCAAGTGGTGACATAATTTAAGCTAATTGGAGGCTACTTAAAATTTTCTTCCTGTCTTTAAGGGCCATTGACTTACCCTCCTGAGGAATGATGCGAAGAGTTACACTGAGACCTGCATCTTTAATGAGCTTCACAATATCTGCATGAGGCATGTTAATAATAGACTGGCCATTCACAGCTAAGATCCGGTCTCCAACTTTAAGTTTCGCACAGCGATCTGCAGGGCTTCCATCAATTATCCGCCCTATTTTGTGGGGTACAGCTAGACAAGAGACAATAGACACAGTTAACATGTGCTGAAACAAGTGGTGATGTTCACAAATGAAAGAAAATCAGTTCATTTTAGAAGGAAGTTTTATATGAATTAAAAAGCAGCTTGTGTAAAAGCATATAAGAATATAAATTCTTATGCAATGTCATTTGCAGTAACACAGTACTGTGTTTTTTCACTAAAAATTCAGAATCCAGATGCATATATACACATGGCATATACATATGAAGTCCAAAGTTTATAATTCAGCTATTTTGCAAACCTGGCATGAAACAACATAATAAGCACATCAGGGAAACAATAAGGCATTAAAACAGGGAAAGGATATAAATTTATACAATAAGTAGCAGTCATAAATTGTCTCCCACCTCTTGTTTTACAGAATTTCTTTATTTGTATGTTGCAATAGAGGCACCAAAAGTATTATTAATTTTATATACAAAAAATTGTTATTGAAAATACATATGAAATTGTACATGAAATTGTTCTCCTCCATCCAAATGTGTTTATGGATAAGTAGAAATAATACTGAAGATTTATTGAGATGTGCAGCTCTCTAATTAGGTATTAATAATAAATGAATAGAATTGAATTGACAGCTAGCTATGAGTACATAGACATGTACTACATCAAAAGATCTCAGCCCTCTTAAAACATTACAGAACAAAACTTCTCCTTTTCCTCTCTGTGGTTCTTCACATTTCTGTTTACTCCATCCATGCTCTTGTTTTGTCTCTTCTCTCAATTTTCATTAAATTTTCCAAATATTGTTCTTGATTTTTTGACTAGTGTTTCTACTCTGTTATATTCTGTTTTTTAACTAAATTAATATGCTATAGCTGAGTATTTTCTCTAGGCTCCCCAAAGAGCATGCTATTTTTCTTTCTCCCAAGTACTCATAAATATGCTTATCACAATTAAATGACTATATAGTCTATTAATATCCTAATGGTGTTTGAGTATTCCTCTGCAGTCCCACACTTCAGTCCTGGAAAACAGCACAAAGCAGCTCAGCCTCACTATCCACCTTTAAATTGGTGTTAAAACCAGTGTGCTTCTTTCTTCAAAAATAATACAACCTTAACATTTAATTATCTACAGAGAACTTGGAAAAATGAAACAAAAGATGGTTCAAACATATTTTTTAGAAATATCTAGATTATCAATGCTCATATAAACCAAAGCTCTAAAAGATGTGTTCAGAATACATTGCTGCAGAAGAAATTGCTTAGCACCTTGATAAACATTTACTGAATGTTTTGGTGACTAACACAGACTGCACATCTGATATAAAGTCACAATAGACATACCTCAAAATGACTTTTGTTTCTAATATGGATGTAAGTGTTTACAGTGTTAAAAATTAATTTTTGGAACACTGAAAATATAAGTGAGTACTCTGAAGTGCGAGCCACAATCAAAGTGCATTCTTGTTTACCACTATGGTTCCGGCATGAATATAAATTAAAACACAACTTTACTAACACAGACACAACAAATGGACGTCAGAAATGCATTGTTGCTTAGGAAATAAGCACTGAATTTATGTTACAGTGTCTAAACATTTCTATGTTTTAAAATAGATTAAATATGTATAGCTACACTTTCTAGAAAAAATTGTGTTTATTTTGCCCTTAATGAAGACATATAACTGCCATACATACATATCAGTGAGCAAACAAATAAAAAAGTAACTTGACTCTTAAACAGTTTATGTTTACAAAGTGCTTTTTTCATAAAATTTGTTCTTAAAGCATCAGCAAGAATCACTTAAACTAATACTAAAATCTGCCTGTTTCTGGCAAATGTAATAAAAGATCTGTCTGATATTGTCATGTCTTGACTGTATATTAGTGGAGATCTGAAAATAAGACTGTCTTATGTAAAAAAGTAAGAATTTCGGTAGTAAGAAAGAAGGGGAAATATGGTAGAGATGCCACAACTAAAGTTTCCATGCTTGTCATTTCCATACCTAAAGATGTTTTTGCTAGCGTAAGTGGAGACATAATTTCAGTAGTAAGGGGTGTGGGAGGGTGGGGGGTGGGAAGTCCAATTAATTTGGCAGAAAAATTTTTGGTTGGACTTCTTGTACCTGCCAAATGAATAGAGCAGATGTCTGCATGTTTGAGATGTCTGCTGAAACTGAAGCTGGAGGTGGGAGAGCCACGAGACTCCAGCTCAGATCCAAATCCTGAGACAAAGGAAGGGGGGGAGAAAGACGAGGAACTTGGTGTTCTTTTCTTCTTCCCTTTAAGCCTAATGGTCTTCACCTTCCTGATAAAGGTACCTACTCTAAATGTTTTGGTATCCCTGAACTCCCTTCATTCTGTTGTGTTATGAAAGGATCAACAGTAGGTGACCATCAGATGAAAACTTGTGTCTGTCAAGGTACCTTTTCTACTCCACTGTGCTATTTGGGGATTTAATGTTCCTCTTCTCAGGCTGTATTGGTGCCATATGCTGCCATTTGATCTTGCTGCAAAGTAGGGTGTGGGGAAATTTTGCAGAAGAAATCTGAATCTCTGTTGGATTCAAGGTTACACTGCTATGCTCTATAAGGTTTTATGGGCAAATCTAGGGACTTACTAGAGGAGCTCATGGCCATGCAGCAGAAACTGTTCATGCACATTTCTAGATAATATGAGGAGACATTTATCTCCTGGCTCCTTCCCTCTCAGGATAATATTATCCTGAGGAATTTCTGTTCGTTGCTTCTCTTCCCAGTGGGACTCTGCCTGAGCACCCTCCTAAGCCACAAAATCCTGGCTGCCATGGTCCCAAATGCTTCCTTGGGATGGGAGGATTTATTTAGGGCTTTTTTCTTTACAAGCATGAATTCTTCTAAGGGACACAGATTATCTGATGTGTAGGTTGTTCACAAAAACCCCCACGTTAAAATATGTTAGAAAACTTTCAGTTTTTAGAGAGAGCCTTTGGTAGTGAAATACTTACTTCAAAGGGATAAGAAGGAACTACTCTCATAGGGGATTAATGAGGTAAAAACTAAGGAGCAAAGGTGGAAATGAACTGTGAATTTCCATAATGGAGAATTTTTATTGTTCAGAATGGTCACATCTAAAACAAGTGGGGAAGAGCTGTAAACTGTCAGTAGGGAGTGGGTTGAAAGAAGTGGCAGACAGGATCTCATGAAAAGAAATGCAAGATTATGCAAGTAAGGAAAAAATAACCCTGCCTAAGATTAAGCAGATATGCACCCTAAATTAATTATTATCACTCAAGAGACCTTGAAATGTGTGCCTACTTGTCTAAAAACATAAACTCATTAAAACAGTCAATATGACACTGAGAGTTCTAAAAGAGTAACAAGTGAAACAAACTATTGCTATTTAATGCTGTGCACCTAAAGTCTTGGTATTGCTAATTGCTTCAGTACCCTCATCTCAGAAATCATAGCAATGAAGTCACAAAGATTCAGAGAAGGGGAGCATGGAAGTCAGAAGCAGAAAAGAAGCCTCTGCTCAAAGGAATTGTCTGTGAACTCGCTGTCTACACCTTCCAAAAGAGAATTTGGGGCAACCTTCTGGAGGGGCAGAAAAGAATTAAAAAAGGGATTAGACCAATTTATAGGGGTGTACACAGAAATTATTATTTCTGAATAAATCAGAAAACCTTGGCTGTAAAAGCTGACACAATGCCTGGGAAAGGTCCTGTCTGCTGTATGTGCTGTTCTCTCTGCTACTGGTCACAGCAAAGGGACAGCAAGGAGCTGTGTGCCTATTGGGTCTCTCCCAGCGTGGCAAGTCTCTTCCTGGAAAGAAACCTCCCATGTCTGGCATTTAATTAGGGTTTTATTAACATAAAATACCTTTTTTTTCTTAAATTGCATCTTCTGGGTCTTATTTTTATCTGAGCAGAGCATTTAATGATGTAACCTTTTAAAGGAAGTCCCAAATCCTGACTTGTGTAATTGTTTCCTATCAGCCTTAATTTTTTTTTACTGAACTATTAATACCTCTTTTAACAAATCACCACAAGCTGTTCTCCAAACATATGTATATATTAAAGAGTGGAAGCCTGTGCCTGGATGAGACTTTGCGCAGAATCTGATCCACTTATTTCAAAACACTGAGTTTCCTGAGCAGCATTTAATATTAGCAGGCTATACAGAAAGACTTGGATTTGTGACTTTTTTTCAAGAAATCCCTTGATTTTGCTAAAAGTGAATGTAGAAAACAAGCTGTCCCTTTGCAGAACAATTAATTTCTAGGTTCTCTCATACTACACAATGAATGAGACTGCAAGGGAAAAATTACTGCAAACAAGGATTAATACTTATTTTTTAACTGTTGAAAATATGGGAAATTAGTAAGAATGAGCTTGTATGTATACAAACCACACAGCCCTTCAAAATAGATATAGAGAGTCTTTTTCTCTAGTACTATCAAGTAATGCAAAATGTGATACTCAGGAGTGATATAGTTGGATATTTACCTTAAGATAAAATAAATTCTTCCAAGACAGAGGGCATAATCCTAGACCCAAAATAATTTCTCAGAGAGTAGCAATGCTGCAGAAACCTTATCTAACAAAAGATCTTACAATGGAATGTAAATTTGCTGCAGTGTATTTTTCAAAATTTCATGACTTGGGAAAGGTTTGAATCTTGAGAGTGCCAAAGCTTCTCTGATATTTGAAGTCATTAATGTCACCTTCTCAATCTTGCTCAGATATTTACAGCATTACAACACAAACTGACCCAGAGTTGGGCTGTAGGAGCTGAGGCTTTCCCTGAATGTATTTAATCATGCAATGAGCAGCACTTAGCTCATTGAAGAGAAATTAAATTAAAAAATTTAAAGACAAAATGATTTAAAGGAAATCTTTGCATTTAGAAAGTGGATAAGGTCTGCTTTCAGAAACTTACATTTTTCTCTATATTTTTATTTGATAAGAATCACTCACTTTTGCTCTCCATGATTCAAATTAATATCCTTACCACACCTGCATGTCACAGAACAGAGAACAAATTT